CCACAGGTGATATGTCTCCTTATACTACTTCGTGGTTTTAAGGGCGCTCGCACAAGAAAAGACGGAGCAGTGTGCAGGATATGATTCAAATTAGTAAGAAAAGGACAGAAATATCACTCCTTTCTTTTCTACCTCATTTGAAACACATCTTGCACAGTGCTCCGTTTTTTCTTGTGCGAGCAGCCTAACCAAACAGAATCCATGAAACTAAACTACTTTCAAGGCCTTTCTCCAATAGGATCCTAAACTCTTGCATTGCGTATGCATTGCTTCGGTTGCTATTGGCAACCAATGCTAAAATCAACGCGTCAGTCACGCAACGCAAAAGTTTAGGTTCCTATTGGAGAAAGGCCTTCATGGAGCGTCTCTAATGGGACCCTAAGAACAATCGTTGCGTACACGTCGCGTTGGTTCCCATTTAGTTTAGCATTGGTGACGTCATACGTCTATGTTTACGAATGCTTTTAGGTTTCTATTGGAGACGCTCTATTATAAATATGTTGACAACCTTTTTATGCTCATTGAACGCTCATAGCGAGAATTTGGAAAACGCCTATTGATATAATCAAAATATATAAAAGTAGTTAAAATTATTTAATTTTATCTATTGTAATATTCACTAATCATAAAATCATATTTTACAATCTTACATTTTTATTATTTAAAAAAAGAAAATAATGCATATATATGCCTATGACTTTTATACAGCGGTCACAGCTCGGCTGCCTGCCTGCTGGCAAACGGGGCGAGGGGACGACATGAGTGTAAGCGAGAAAGAGCAAGTTTTTCTTCTCGTCTATACTCATGTCGCCTCCTCGCACCGTCTGCCCGCAGGTAGGCAGGTAGCCGAGCTGTGACCGTAACATTAGCATAGTGATTAGTAAAATACTGCAAAGAGTGTGAGTATACCTTCATGCATTAAGGTACTTTTAAGGCGATTCCAGAATAGGTGCAAAAGCCAAGTACAAGTATAAGTGCAAATACCATGAGAGCAAGAGAGATAGATAAACTACCTATCTCTTTCACTCTCATGAGATTGGCACTTGTATTTGCACTTGAATTTGGGTTTTGCATCTATTCTGGAACCGCCTTTATACCTCTGCTATTTTCGACGAGTAAATCGACAGAATGGTTTTTCACGGCCGTGAAAATTTACACCACTGAATGTGATTGGCTCTATTAACAGTTCCATTTTCACGGACTTTTTAGTAAACCCAATCACATACACTCGTGGTTAGATATACCTACATATTTGTGTCCCTTTCTAACTGTGTTGTCATGTGTTGTCATGGCAACACGTGTGTTAGAAAAGGACAAAAATTTGTAGGCATACCTGGCCACAAGTGTATACAGTGATGTGAATTTTCATGGCGTGATAAAACATTCTGTCGAATCACTCCTTCAAATACCGAAGGTATAAAAGCACCTTTAGGGTGGCGTATAGGCGATTCCGTTTTAGGGTGCAAAAAGATGTTGTGGAGAGACTCCGAAGTGCTGTGAAAAAGTGATCATGTTCATATCTTATCTTACATAATTTATGGCGTAGAAATACGTTATGAAGTTGAAGGAATTTAAACAATTGTATTTTCTTTAGAATAATATAATTCTTAAATATTAAACGTGCAGTTAACAAAGTTTCAACTAAAAATAAGTAATAGTTGCTGTTTCGTAATGTCTGACGATGATAGTGCTGAGGTATGTATAATTTTTATACAAAAGTTTAGAAATAATTTACTATATCTTTTAAGCAAAATATTTTTCGTTAGGGAAAGTTGTTTACAAGTTAACAACTTTTAACAATAGAGCTATTAAATAATGAAAACTTTTTAAATTTTTTCTTATATAATTTTTTTGAATTTTTAAACTTTTTTTACGCATTGTAACGTATATAAATGATTAAATATATATATTTAAGTCAATGTGAGACACGTGACATATATTGAAAATTATTATTAATACCAAACGAAGAAAAAGTCTTAAAAATCTACAATTTTCATTAAAAATTCTGTTGAGAAAATAAAAATATACTTTGATTTTGATTACAAAAATTAAAGATTCTGACGTTTATTAGTTTTAACTATTGTGTGTTATAAAATCATTAGTGATCGTTTTAAATATCATATAAGGTAAGTGTACCAGTTATCGAAGGTGCACCAATTGTCAATGGTTGTTATTAGTTTCAAAAGAAAATTTAATTTTACGATTGTAAAAGAAATTTTTTTTTAAATAATATAATTCTTATAAAAAATTAAATTTCAAAAATAACCTTTGACTATCTCAATAAAATATTTAAGCTGTCCTTTAATAAAAATTTGAATGAAATATGAGAAAACGTTTTGAGATGTTCGAAATATTATTTTTCAATATTAATTTTTTATGAACATTCTTAAATTTAATTCAATTTTTTCAACTCCTTAAGTAAAAATTATTTTTTTTTAAAATAGGTACTGATAGTAAATAAGATTTGATGTATTAAATATCAATATTTATGAAGTAAGCTTATTACAAAGGAGAAATAATATTTAAATTTATATTTCTCGAAATATAATGCCTTAATTATATTTGTATTGCCAAAATACAAGGTGAAAATTAATATTCAAACTTACATGTAAACTGTTAAAATTTATAACATTTTATTTACATTTTCGAAGACGAAGCTGAAATACGCAACGTTTATATAAACGATTTTTAAAGAAATAATTTTTTAAAATGAAAAATTCTATAATTTTTTGCCTAAAAAGTATTTCTTGTAGTTTTCGTTAACCAACAAATTATAAAAAAATATTTTTTATGCAAAAAATTATAGAATTTTTCATTTTAAAAAAATATTTCTTTAAAAATCGTTTATATAAACGTTGCGTACTTTAACTTCGTTTTTCGAAGAAAGTTTATAAATATTATAAAATTTATTACTACCTAATAGTAACTACTTTCAATATACTTTCACATGATATGTTGGCTTTTTAATTTTATAATGTAGAAATATGAAAAATTGTACCTTGAATGTTGAACTTTTCAGGATTTCATTTGATTTTGAACACAACATATATTTGCAGGCGATTAATGATAAAATCTTATTTTGGTTTTAAAATTTAAGTTAAATCTTCACTAAGCTGAAGTACGCAACGTTTATGATAAAGGATTTTTAAGGAATAAATTTTTTAAAATGAAAAATTCTATAATTTTTTGCCTAACAAATATTATTTGTTGATTAATGAAAAGTATAAGAAATATTTTTAGGCGAAAAATTATAGAATTCTTCATTTTAAAAAATTATTTCTTTAAAAATCGTTTATCATAAACGTTGCGTACTTCAGCTTCATAAATCTTTTTTATTCATTTTTTTTAAATATGGTGATAGTGAACGAACTACTTTTTATTTTTATTCACTTTAAAAAATTCATCTTAAAATACGAAGTTAAAGGTTAAAAAACAAGTATTTTTATAAACTGAAGTTGTGTTTTTCAATAAAAATTTATTTGCTTCAATTTTATTTATAAAAATACTTGTTGATAAATTGTATTATTTTACATGCAAGTTTAAATATTAATTTTTACCTAGTATTTTACCCTTCTTTAATCAATTATCGATTAATAATTAATAATAGTTAATTTTATTGTCTGAAGAAATATAATTTTTTAAAAATCGATGTTATAATATTGATTTTTCGCGAATTTTGAATAATGAAATACACCATTCACAGATATTCAAGCCATTTCTCCTGGAGGGAAAATTAGTTTATGGCAGAGAGACAAATTATCAATCTTGAAAAATCCCTCCCTTATCTTACGCGAAACTGGTCGGAACACTGATCTCTATATAGATCAGTGGGTCGGAACGAATAAATATGGCAACCTAACCCCAAAATTCAGTTTATTCGATTGAGACACAAATAAGTTCGCGTATCACTTTTTGCGCAGCATTTAACATTCTAAATATAATAAAACAGAATATACAAGCAGATTTCTTTTATCTATTAAAAAATCATTCTAGAAGGACTATTAAACTCTCTTTAATAATAAAGGGAATCATACACTTTTTGAAACTTTGAATTTGAACCTCCAGTTTTCTCAGTGTAGATAGATGTTTATTCATTGATATTAAAATACAATAAATAATATACTGTTGGAAAGTTATTTAAATTACCTTTTGAATCGTCGGTCGTTGAATAAAATCTAATGAAATTTGACAAGTTGAGAGTAACAACATAGTTGATCAAAGTTCTAATTTCATTCAAATTTTGGTGATTTTTGGATAATTGTCTATATTTTGCTTATTATTTCTAATCCAAACAATAAAAAAAGTTGTTTTAAATTTTTTATCGATAGGCTATTCAATTAAGAAAATTTTGAGCCCAAGTAGAGCACAATCGGATGAAAAATAAAAATTCTACACTAGATTTAGTGAACAAAATAATTTTTTCATTTTTAGTAACCTTTTTTTATTATCATGTGACAACAGTCCATAAATTTATTCTACTTTGTAAAAAATGTTTTGTGCAATAAATCAATACCAATTTCCTAAGCTATTCAGGCAAATAGACGAATTTAATAATTTTTAAACTCTAATTATCTATTAGGCGTCATTTGATTAACGGCATAAGCGATTAGTTAAGTAACAGATTCTTCTATTTAAAAACAACATATATAAATAAAGGTTGCAATACGTATAATATGAAAAAATAACCAATTTTATAAATTTTACTACTTAGTAATTATTTATGAGCCAAAAGTTTTTGAACGTTCATAGGAACGAAATTTTTTTTTCAACTTCTTTACGTACAAATTTTATTACAAAATATTGTTTTAAATATCTAAAAAGAAGTTATTAATTTAATAATTGTTTAATTCACTGTTTAAATTTACATTGCCACCATAATTTTGAATAATTTATAAATTGAAAAAATATTTCGTTCTTTTGAACGTTCAGAACTATTGGCTCATAATTAATTACATAAAAATAATTTATTATTGTCCAATTCATTTTACAGAATTCAATAAATGAAAATGGATCAAAAGAATATAAAAGTTATACAGAACGAACATTAAGAGGCTCAATTCCTTACACAACATGGTATCGCTATCAAAAGTTACATATGGAACAAGTAAGAAATTTTTGTTATTATTTTTGAAAAAATGAAAAATTGAACTGTAGGTATCATGTGATTCAAAGATAATTATGTATCAGATATAAAGAAATTATATATATGAAAAGTATGTGCTTTTTAGCTATCCAATGTTAATTTTTCTCTTTTTAAATTTTAAATTTTTTAGCTTGAGTTTTGTAAAAAAAAGTTTGAAATATCTTAAAAAAGGATATTGATCAACAAAATTGTTGATATTATCCAAGTTAAATATAATAAAATATTTTTAAGATAATAAATATTTAAATTTACTACTCAATGGTATTTTAACCCTAAAAGCACATACTTCAAAAAATTATACATAAGGGTGATTTGTACACAACAAAACTTTGAAACCCTATATATATTTTTCTCAAATTGATGAAATTCGTTCGATTTTTTGAATCGATAGAAATTCTTCTGACGAATATGAAAAATATACTTTTATTAATATAAAATGATTTTTAAAAAAAATATTTAAAATTAAACAATGACCTCAGATAGCACGAAAGCTTGCAGCTACCTTGCAGGGCAAGTTTGCCGCAAGCTTGCAACAAGCTTCAAATGTCACATGTAACCCAAGCTTGCATAGTAAGCTTACTGAAAGATTGCAGTGTAAGGTTACTGTAAGATTGCACAGTAAGATTATCACAAGATTGCTGAGTAAGCAAATATATTTTTGCTCATACATTGAGCACCAGTACCTGGGAGGTCAAAAAAATTTACTGCGCAGCCGTAAGTGCTTGTGATTGCAAGTAAGCATAGTGCTCATTTTCATTGCAAACTTATGTGCTTATTGGGGAAGGTTATTGGCAACCTTGCCACAAGCTTACCGTGTAAGCTTACTATTCAAGCTTGCGATAATCTTATCATGCAATCTTGCAGTAAACTTACACTGCAATCTTTCGGTAAGCTTACCATGTAATCTTACGATAATCTTACTGTGCAATCTTGCAGTAATCTTACACTTCAATCTTTCGGCAAGCTTATCATGCAAGCTTGGGTTAGGTGGGACATTTATAGCTTGCTGCAAGATTGCCGTGCAAGCTTGGCAATATTGCGTGGCAAGCTTGCCGCAAGGTTGCTGTAAGCTTGCGTGCTCTCTGGGACATGCTTTTAAAAAAGAATTAAAATTTTAAAAAACCCATGAGCGATTTGTACTTACAAGTAACACTAGGAGGGTATCAGACGCCGATTTTCCTGCAACTTTACATACAAGTAGTTCCTTGGAAAATATTAGACACCTATTTTTTATATTGGCCCAAATATGGTTTTAGGGGTAGAAATCACCCTTAATACTTTTTAGGAGTGAATTTGATTATTCTACGAATTATTGGATGGATTATTGTAAAATTGGATATACATGGGTTTCTGAGGTCGCTGATTACGAATTTGAAGTCAGTTTTTAAAAATTAAAAAATGGCGGATACAATATGGCGGATTAATTTTGAAAAAATTGGTTTTTTTTAAGTTGAAATTTTTGTATCAAAGGGTTAATGAGGTCGCTGATTACGAATCTGAAATCAGTGTTTAAAAATTCAAAATGGCGAAAAAGTTTTAAAAAATTGTATCAAATTTAACAATTCTTCAAAACTTATTCGCCATTTTGAATTTTTTAAAGCTGAATGCACCTTCGTTATTAGCGACCTCATTAACTCTTATACAAAATTAAAAAAATTTTCAACATTTATTAAGAAACTTACCAAATTTATAAAATTTTAATCGCCATTTAAAATTTTTAAAAACTGACTTCAGATTCGTAATCAGCGACCTCATTAACCAATTGATACCAAAATTTCAACTTTTTAAAAAAATACCAATTTTTTCAAAATCAATCCGCTATATTAGATCCGCCATTTTTGAATTTTTAAAAACTGACTTTAAATTCGTAATTAGCGACCTCAGAAACCCCTGTATATCCAATTTTACAATAATCCATCGAATAATTCGTAGAATAATCAAATTCACTCCTAAAAAGTATTAGGGGTAATTTCTAACCCTAAAACCATTTTTGGGCCGATATAAAAAATAGGTGTCTAATATTTCCTAAGGAACTACTTGTATGCAAAGTTGCAGGAAAATCGGCGTCTGACACCCCCCAGGTGTTACTTGTTAGAGCGTACTTTAAGGATTAATAATAGATTACAAGTTGTCTATTATTTTAAAATAGGTCAGGTACTTGAAAATTAATTAAAGATAAAGTGAGGTCAGACTTTACCATCACAACTGAAAATTTAATGTTTTATACATGAAGTAGTATAAGGAACACTCACTGTTGTTAAAAAAAATAGCCACATTTTAGAAGAATTAATTGATCCAAAATTGCATATCACCGATTATGACGCCTCTAGCGGAAAAGCGGTGTATTTAGGACTTTCAAAATCAACTTTATTATTTTTTAAATATTTTATCAATATCCGATAAATGAACTGATAATTGTTTTATTGACATGTTTCAACATAATTTTTTTGTAATACTTTTACAGAGAAATAAAAATGATTGTAGTAATATTGAACATTTTTAAAAAGATGTACCACGTATAGGGTACGTCTTGGGTATATGAACATACGTTTTAAATGTCCGTAAAATTATTTACATTAATATGTATTTCTATGATCGGATTGTTGTGAAAAGTATAGTACGTGCCTCGGAGAGACGCATCTTTATCGTCTCGGGTGACTTGCCGCCCTCGTCAGAAAAGAGTTTCTCCCCTTGGCAATATACTATTAAATATCTATGTTCTTTTAAAATTTTTATTATTTTTTCATTGTCAATTTTTTCAACGTTTTTTTAATAATTCCTAAGAATCTGTCGCATGAATTTTTAAAATTTTTTATTTAAAAAAAAAGAAAAATTTTGAAATGTTAAAAAATTAAAATTTTCTTTTTTTGTCCACCTTATATGTTTTTAAGACCAAAATGATGCAAGAAAAAATATAACTTCGTGCAATCAATAAAATTTAAAGGACTTAAAATAAAGGTGGTGACTCTCCTTATAGTTAAAACAGGACCTTATTCGGCATACAATAAAATGATTGAATCAATTGTCCCAATATGGTCTTAACATAAATCCGTATTGCGTCGTATAGCTTACTTTCAATACGGAACGACTCCACTCAATACTTTTTTACTGTATCATTGCTCTTCATCAACATATTTTAGACTAATATTAAAGATTCCTGCTTGCTTTGAAAGTTATAAGAAAAGAATGTGCGACAAAATTTACATGGGAAACATAACGACCAAATGAGCCTCCTAATTCTATAACTTGTTCGACGCTTGGGCCCACGCTCTATTAGTGATTGGAGAACAGCGAGCGTTAATGGCTCTCTCGCGCCTATCCTACTACCAATAGAGCGTTCGTCCAAGCGTAAAACGAGTTACAGAATTAGAATGTTCAAATGTTGTTAATTAAATACTGTTAATATTTAATAAATATCTTTTTAGAATTTAGGTTCAGATCAAAAGCAGACGAAACATAACGAAGAACATAGTGAACATTATAATATGGAAGAATTCACATTACCAACACAAAATACTTCAGAGTCTTCTATACTAATAGAAAATGAAAATTTTCTTTTCGAATATCAACATCCTTTTCAAGTTGTAGATGAATATGAAGAAGATTGTTCACAAAAAAAATAACTTCAAATTATGTTGAGGTAAATACATAGTATAATTAAGAATATCATATTATCATGTGCCATTGATAATGAAATTATTCTCTTAAGCATATTTAGTCATTTTAATAGCCCTTGGAGCTTAAAATAGAGTAATATTTTAAAATATTAATTGTAGCTACAATGGAACGCCGGTTATTCGGACTACTCGGATGTGTGTTCGAATAATGCAGATAGGTCACCTCGACAAAAAACATACATATAAAGATTTTTATTTAATAAATAATGCAAAAAAAGTTGGATTTCTAAAAGTTTCAATTTCAAAATATATATACACACACAAACACGGAACGACATTTCTTTAAAATGTGATTTTTCGATTCCTGAGGTCGAAAAACATAAAGATACTTTAAAAAATCAAGTTCGAAAAATTTCGGTTTTACAATGCTTCATCCATGAGGAAGCAATAAAAGAATGAATTAATTTTAACAATATTTATACATGTTATATCAAGGCGGGAAACGGACTCTTTAACAGATACGCTGCTGCGTTCATCAAGTCAAGCTCCATACACCCTTTTCTCCTCACCCCTTTTCAGCGCCATGGCTTTTCAAATAATTTTGTCTTCGAATAACCGGCGTTCCATTATATTTAGATTACAATAATTTGTTCTAAATAAATGCCTAAGCACTAAAACTTGCAAAAAGCTTGCTGCAAGCTTGTATAATACTAAAAAGAAATTTTCGAAACAATTTGTTACTGTATAAACATAAAGAGCACCAAGCTTTGAAGACTAAAAAATTTATTGCGCAGCCATAGAAGTTTCCGTTTACAACTGCGCATCGTGTTAAATTTTGCAAACTTGCAGTAAGCTTGCCGTAAGAGGACATTTTGTTGCTTGCACCAAACTTGGTACATGTTAGCAATTACTGTTTAAAACAATTACTTATCATTATTTCAAAAAACAATTGTAAATTTTTCAGCATTTATTTAAACAACTTTAACCACATGTACCTTTTCAGAAAAAATTAAAATATTATAAGTAGTTCTTTGAATTTCATGTAATAATACTAGAGCTCTGCAAAGTAACTTGAGTGAGTCGATCTAATAGAATTTTTATCTTGAGTTTGAATTAAGAATTTATTGTCTTATTAAAAATAAAGAAATTTAGAAAACTTTACTTTTTAAAAAAATTTCCTTTTTTATTTAGTTTTTCAATTTTATTTTTTATCTTTTAATTAAAATTTTTTTATTTCTATGAGGTAACAGAATTATCATGAAATGGTCATTAAAAGTAATACAACTTTTCATTGATTTTTTAAATTTAAAAAGAAAAATGATATTTTACTTTCCATACGAGATATTAATTCAACACTGTCTTCTATAGCTGAATATTTTAAATAGTCTTCAGACAGTGCGTTTATACACCCAAAAAAATAATTTTATATTTGGATGAAATTTCCTCTTCTAATATCCTCTCAACATTTCCTCTCAAAACAAAAATATTGAATTAGAATATTTTTATTCTCTATTGTAATGGCAGAATGACAAAATGATTCCTTCAAAGTTTTCCACTATAGTTGCGTTATTATTTTTCCAACCTGTCAATTTTTAGTCTTTGTCATAATAGTGTTATTGAATGTTCAAAAATATAAAAGAGACACTTCTTCCAGATAGTGCTGACTAGTGATTGAATACAGGGTTTGAAAAAATATTGAAATTTTGGAAGTGTTTTTTGTCAATATATACGAATTTTTTAATCATTTAGACCATGTAAAATTACTTGTAATCAACGGAAAAAACATTTATTCAATCACTAGTCAATACTATCTCGAAGAAGTGTGTCAAATTTAAGAAATATCTCTCCATTAGTTTTTGAGAAATTTTGACAAGGGCAATTTTGGGAGAGATCTCAAACAACTAGTGGTCATGAGCTCAATTTTTAATATTTCTTAACAAAAATTTTGCAAATTTTTCTTTCGATAGTGTACACGGAGAGAAAAAAAAAGTTCTAACTACTTTCCTTCAAGTCGTCATTCTGATCATATGAAGTCAAGTAGTTACAAGCGGGGAGCCAGGCCGTTTTGACTTGGCTCTTTCATTGCTACTACTGTGTTCTCAGGCAATACCGACCAAGCGATTGGCCTATTGCTTTGACTTGCCGCTTGGCGTTTGCTTCTACTTTGCTTCAGTAGAAGCAAACGCCAAGCGGCAAGTCAAAGCAATAGGCCAATCGCTTGGTCGGTATTGCCTGAGAACACAGTAGTAGCAATGAAAGAGCCAAGTCAAAATGGCCTGGCTCCCCGGTTGTAACTACTTGACTTCATATGATCAGAATGACGACTTGAAGGAAAGTAGTTAGAACTTTTTTTTTCTCTCCGTGTACTTTAAAGTTTTCAAGCGATCGAATATAATAATTTATTTATTTAAAGAAAAAAAAACTATAAAAAAGTATAAGATTTTTTGCCTTCTAGACCCATGTAACCCCTTAAGGCTTCAATTCCTTATTTCAAATTCATATTGGACTATAGTGTTACTATCGTTTCAACGTAATTAATTATTTATTATATATTTTAATTATAAAGTTTATACAGTAAAAAAATTGTGTTTTTAACGTTTTCACATGTATTAATACATATTGACATTAAACATTATATATTAGATACTTATACAGTAATATTATTATTTATAGATATTAAATGACAATATTCAATGCATTGAGGACTCCGTTCATGTGCAGGATATTATCAACAATATTCTTGAGGACATGGATGAAACAGATGTGGCTACAAAATGCTGGGAGGTACAAAAATTAATGTATTCATATGAGGAATTACTCCTCATATCTCAAATAAAAAAATGTAGAATTAACATATTAATTAAAGATGTGCTCAAGTTGTGAAATGTAACTAATGAAATGAAATTTCATCTTGAAGTAATAGGTATTTTCTGAACGTTCATGCGTTTAATAATATAGTGAAACAGTAACATTTTTATAGTACGTAAAAATTGTTGTTTACTATTTTTTTGATGTTTTTAATTTTTCCACATTTCTAGTCAAATAAGGTATATTAATCTGCTTTAATACTTTGATTAACCATCCATGTTCGTTTACATTTCACAAATTTGGTATGCCCTTAAAGAACCTTCTACAAAAAATGTAAATTAAAGTATAAATTCGGAATTAGTGATTTTAATATACTTATTATATAAAATTATCCAATACAGTCAGATCTTATAATTAAAACATTTTTAACTGCTGTAAACGACCAGGTGAGTATTTTCGCTTATTTATTTTATCTTTTAAACAAGATCTTATAGTGTCTCAGTGATATTCTGTGCCGTATTTTTAAGAAGCATATAGAGGAAAGGGGGGCAAGAAGGAATATTTAACGTTTTAAGCACAATAAAAAATACATTATTATATTATGTATATGTTAAAGAAACTAACGTCACAAAAAATTAATAACATTCATAGTTTAATATTAAAAATTTAATATCCAATCGCTCTTTGAATAAATTGCTGATCAGTATCAGATTTACTAGTCCTTCAATTTTAACTATTAAAATATTGTATTTCTTTTGAAGGAATAAATAAGCTTCAAACATCCCTAAAATCGACTTGGAGACGTGGCTTATGCGTTAAACGAATCATGAGTTGTATGGTTTTGAAAATTTTCTAGAACTCAACGACTCGCAAGAACTCACTGTTTTATGAAAATCAAAGCAGTTTAGTACTTTTAGAATTATTTTACAAAAAAATAAGCCACTCAATAAAACGTAATAAGAAATTGCCACTTGTGAAAACGTCAAAAATAATTTTTTAAAAAAACTTTAGAAAAAATATTAAATTAAGATAATGTTTCTTTTGCATTTTCTGCATCTGTAAAATAGTTTTTTGGTTTTCATTGTACCCACTCGCCAAAATCCCCAAACGCCATTTGTCATAATTCTTGTCTATTATTGCACCCTGCTCCAGTAAAAATTTAGCTACTTTATAGTAACTTTTAATTTTAACAATAAATAAATAAAGTATCACTAGAGTAGGGTGCGGTTGTTGACGAGAGTTATGACTAATGATAAGTTATAGAATCAATGACACATTGAATGATTATGCGAAATTTTTTTTTACGCTGAAAAGATCTCAACTGTAGGAAAAAATTAGCACCATCTAGAGGCGTAAGAGTGGAACTATATATAGTGGAACATCTATATTTGAATTTCCTATATAATTTCCGACAAAATTTCTCATATAATTTACGACTTGTTATCTTAGATGGACAATTAAAACAGTGAAATCCACACATGACATCCCACATAAATTCCTATGTGATGAATTCTTACATGAAATCCTATATAGGAAACCATATGAGAACATATGTAGGATCTTATATAGGATCCTACATAAGATTTTACATGGATTTTTATATACATTCCTTTATGATGAATTCTTACATTAGATCCCATATAGGAATCCATATGAGATTTAATTTTTTATTAACTTTTGTTAGTTAATTAATTAATATCTCGAAAACAAAAAATAATGCCATCTCAAAAATTTAACCATCGATTTATTATGACGTAAACAATATTCATGATTTTTTTCGCTCTTCTAAATGAGGGAGAACATGTTTAAAAAATAATTTTTTTTTTAAATAATTTTTTTCTAAAAGTTTAAGGTCTTCTGCGTAAAAAACATTTACAACATTTTTCTCTATTTTTAGTATGAAAAAAGTTATAAGTAAAGAAAAAAAATTATTGCTCAAATTTGTTATTGTAAATATCACGAAAAATATTTAAAATTTCAAATTCAAAATTTGTACACTTATTTAGGATCACTATCACTACAATTTACTAAATTTTGAGAAAAATACAAGAAATGACACCGTATTCTCATATGAAATGCCTCAAATCTTAAAAATTTTCTTAAATGGCAAGCTTGTAGCAAACTTACTACAGGTGGGACATTTTAAGCTTGCAACAGGCTTGCTGCAAGATTACATGCTCTCTAGGTTAAAATAATCTGGCTATTTAGTTCCAATTGAATACTTATTTTTGTATACATTTACATGTTGAGATAAAATAATAATTTCAAGCAATGTTTTAGTTACAAGGTTGACTGTATGTGTACAAATCAGCAATTATAAAACGGCCAGTAAAAGCTTGCATTATTGTACTGTTAAATACAGATTTTGAAGAAGTTCTTTAAATAATATGTTATTCTACTAATACAAAGCACCATATTTTTCGTTTATTTTAAGTTATATTATGATTTAGAAAATTTTGTTTGAAAATAACCTACTGACCACACAGCACATTATATTTCCTAAACATTTCATGAATATTTCATTGAAAGATTTGAAATATTTCAATGCAAGGTTTATGAAATGTTGATGAAAACAGGAAAATGTCCGCCTATAAGAAATATTGCCGTGCAATTTTGTTGAAATATTACACTCTAAGACTCCTGCAATATTGCACATGAAGACTTTGCAATATTCAGGAAATATTTAAAAGAAAGTTATAAACTTTTTAAAATTTAAAATCAATCATTATTTTTTAACATGTTCAACACCTCAGGATCTTAGAAAATCAAAAACTACTGCGCAGATGTACAGGCCATGGAAAGAGAGATCGACCAGAGCGCATCATTTACGTTGAAAATTTTCTAGAATATTTTAATGAAATATTTCAGTAAAATTAAAAGGCAATATTTCTTATAGGCGGACATTTCCCTAATTTTAGCAATATTTCAAGGACTTCGCATTGGAGTATTTCAAAATTTCAATGAAGTATTTCAGAAATATTTAGGAAATATCATATGCTCTGTGGATGGTAACTTTCTTTAACCCGTTAACTGCGATGACGAAGATTTGATGATCAAAATCTTTGTCATCAGCAGTTAAGGGGTTAAGGGGAGATTCCACTGGTTTTTATGTTTTTTTGAGAGTTTTTTTTTATATTAAAAAAAATATTTGTTACTTAACATTTTTTTATACGAAAATACATGTCTTAAAGTAATCGAAAATAATTCCAACATGGGAACCCATATAGGTTCCTCTATACAAACCTTCTTCAAATCCTAGGTCCACATAGGAATTCAAAAGAGATCCCGTGTAAAACTTCATGAGAATGTGAAACAAGATTTGGTTTATGATTTCATGTAATAATTTATAATTTTTTTTTCTACGTAGAAACATATGTGCATTCCTACATCTCAGTTCTTACAGTATTCAAGACTGATCTTAACTAAGAGAAAGAAAATTATCACCATCCAGAATAGAATTATGATGCTATACATCTACATTCAAATTTCCCATATAATTTTTTACATAAGATGCGACATATTTTTCCATATAGGTTTCGACATATTATTTTATTTAGGAAATTATATGGGAAATTTGAATGTAGATGTAGATTATCTTAATACCACTCTTACGCCACCAGATAATGATAATTTTTTCTCTCTCAGTTGTCAGTCTTGAATGTTATAAATAAGAGCTGAGATTCTAACAGAATGTTTTTTTAATTTTTGAAAACTGTAGTCTGCATAAAGCAGCCAACTTAAAATTCCCACATGAAATCTTATATTATTTCCTTCATATAAATCCATGTAAAATCTTAGGTTGATATTTTAGATTTTACATGAAATCCCATATGATTTCCTATGTTCAAATACATGTGCAATCATATGGAAGAATGCACATAAAATTCCATATACTTTTCTAAATTAATACTTTTAAATAAGATTTTATATAAGGATATCTTAAAAATTTTATATGATATTATTTTTATGATTTGATGTTAGTAATTATGAACGAAATTGACGTAGGGAATTGACAAAAATAATATGCCAGAAAAATTATAGAAATTAATACATAGCTTTCTGTACAGAAAAAAAATCACATTAAATCATACTCCACAAATCATGTTTCACTTTCTTAAGTGATTTTACATGGGATCCCATGTGGATTCTTATTTGACACTGGGATTTCGTAAGGGTTTTTATATAGGAACCTATATGGAATCTCATGTAGGATCCCACGTGGGAATATTCAATAAGGTGTTAGAAAATCTTTTAAATTGTACAAAAATAATTAAAATACAAAAATTTAATACAGGCTGACAATGAGGAAGATTATTTTCTCACAAATGACATGGACGATAATGATATCATTGACATAGAAGAAGAGAGTACACTAGAAAAGGAATTCATCCCGCAATCAAATAAATATAATACACTTGAAAGTATGATGTTAGGAGAAGATTTTAACAAACCAACTACAGTATCAGTAAATAAATCAGTTAGAGAAATTGTGTTAATGATTGTTAGGTATGCACTAATAAATACCTTGACATTTAATGCTACTTTTCAATTGTTTCGACTTTTCAATTGCCTCTTTGAGCATCCAATTTTACCAAATACGAAATACATTCTTAATAAATTGTTTTATCCTAAAAATTCAATGAAATTTCATGCAATTTGTACACACTGTGAAGAATATGCAGGTATATTCAAACCTCCTAAAGATAAATTTGTCAAATGCAAAGTATGTGAAAAGAAAATTAATGTAAAGAAATATGATTATAAAGATTTTTTTGTCACAATGGATCCTTCAGTACCTATTGCAGAATTAATTAAAGAGAATTTTGAATACTATAACTTTGTCATTAATGAAAGAGTTCATAAGAAAGGATTCATTAGTGATATTTATGATGGTAAACTTTATAGAAACTTTATTAAGTCGTTGAGTGACATTGAAAAACAGAATTATGCAACAACGACATTTAACACGGATGGAGCGCCATTATTTCAAAGTTCAACTTGCTCAATTTGGCCAATTTACTTGATGCTAAATGAGTTGCCATACAACGTAAGGACTAAAGAGTTAATATTAGCAGGACTTTGGTTTGGGAAAAACAAACCTGATATGAACGTTTTTCTTAAACCATTTGTAGATAATATGAATGAAATTGCAAAAAATGGAATCATGTGTAATATTAATGGATTTGATCGTTGCATTAAAATATTTACTCTGGTTTGCTGTGTCGACTCAGTAGCCCGTCCAACATTACAAGGATTTGTACAATACAATTCTTATTTTGGTTGTGGACATTGTCTTCATCGTGGAGAGTGGCTTCGTAAATCAGTTAATTCTCGATCTGGATATGTTAAATATCCATTGCAAGATTCACTTTCAAAATTGCGAAACATAGATGACACATTAATACACTCTCAAACAGCAACACTGAATAAACCAGTCTTCGGTGTAAAAAGAAGATCTTGTTTGTTTGATTTAATTAAATTCAATTTAATTAGTGGTTGTGTGCCAGACGATATGCACTTGATTTCTGGTGTTGCAAAACAGTTCTGTACAATGCTTTTTGGGACCACAAAGAAAGTTGGATTAATAACTCCAAAACAAAAAGTTATTAATGTTATTGACGGTCTTTTAAAAAAAATGAAATCTCCTTATCAAGTGGGCAGATTAACTCGTCCATTTTGTGATAGAGAGTATTGGAAGGCTCTTGAATGGCAAAACTGGACATTATTTTATAGTATTCCAGTATTCTTGAGTATATTGCCTCAAAACTTATTACAGCATTGGATCCTGTTTGTAGAAGCAGTTTACTTACTATCACAAGATGAAATACAAATTCTAGAAATTGATTTTGCTGACCAATTATTACATAAATTTGTATCTGACACGGAAAAAATATATTCAAAATGGTCAATGACATTTAATGTTCACCTATTGCTGCACTTGGCAAGAAGTGTTTATGAATGGGGACCATTAAGAAACCACAATGCATATCCATTTGAATCGGAAAATGGCAAATTGATAAGAGCTACGCATTCTGCTAAGGGAGTTCACCATCAGATATGCCGTCGTATAAGTCTGCAATACAGTTCGCTTATGTTAAAAAGATGTGTTAATTGTTCATTTATTGTAAAACAATTTTGTACATCCATTAGTAATCCCATGGTTCAGAAAACTATTCAACTTACAGGAGCAAGATATTTTACTCCATGTTCATTGCTAAATGCGATGTGGATACAAGTTTTAAATCTTTCATTTGATCAAACTGCTTGTTATATCAAAATGGTGAAAAGTGGTTGTTTGTTTATGTCTTCCTTAAAAAAAATAATCGTTCTGATAACACATATGCACAATTGAAAAACAAAAATTATGTAAGACTAGTTTGCTTTTTAGTTGACAGACTTAACAAAGTAGAATACACTATTGTTAAAAAAATTGACGTTCAAAATGTTTTTGTGAATAATTGTAAAATGATGAAACAAATTATAACATCCAGCTCTGATGAATCATCGATAATGACAAATGAAATAGACAAAGTATGCATTCACATGAAAGTAAATAATATTGAATACTTATGCGCTGTACCTAATTTAAAATGTTTATAAAATGTAAATTGTTTAATTGTAAGGCACTTTTTTTCATGTTCATTTATTTATTTATTTAATTACTTAATGAGGAATGTTCCATAACAAAAAATAAAGATTTTTTGATGCTTTTAAAATATGTCAAAGTTTAATTAATTTTACGAAATTTTGTAAAGTTTATACATTTTAAACCGAGTAATTTTGAAAATATTTGCAATTAAATAAACATCGTGTCTTTTTGAGTTAACCTCTCCAAACTTATAAATTTAGTCTTTTTAAACACATTCAGTAAATATATAGTCCTAAATATGATTTTTTGATAAATGAAACCTCCAAAACAATGTAAAAAATTTCATTATACTAAATCTTGTAAAAATAATATGTTAAAAAATATTAGTACATATATAAAATATGAAGTATAATTAAGCTTCATTGTACTAAGAAAAAAATTTGTTTCATGCACACAATAATAAATTTACTGTGAATTACTTTCAAACTTGTACAATTTACAAAAAGAAATTTAATTATACCTTTTGTATTTTTTGAGTGAAATTCTATCTAATAAAAGAGAAAATAATAATTTAATAAATACATCCTTTTGAATTTATTAAAATTAAGACAGATTAATATTTAAGATTATTAAATATTATTTATGAAAATAATAGTAAATAAGTAAGTAAGTATATGCAAAAATTGTACATTATGTGAAAAAAATTTTACTTATTATTTGGATTTAACGTAATTTTTAACATCGGATCCCATTCGGATCCGATATAGTTTCCTAATAGGATCCCATTCCAAATTCCGACATAGTTTCCTATATGGAATCCTACGTTGTTTTCTATGCGGATTCTATCTAGTTTTTTTGTAGTTTCCTATATAGAATCCTGTATTAATAGTATTAGGATCCTACATCGGAAACTACATATGAATTTTCAGTAGGGATCTATAGTCACAATTGTCAGATTAGGTGAGCAGTTTGAGATAAACTCAAAAAACCGCTCTGAAACACAGAAAAAAATATTTAAACAAATTTTTTTCCAACACACTATACTAGTGCATTCTTATGTAATTCTTCCTCCCAAATCTGAATTTGAAGTGAAAATTGCTAAACTTGCTAAATTTTTTACAACGATTAAAAAATGAAAGAGATACAGCACGTTTTCAATTTAATTAACAAAATTCATTAAGTCGATCCAAAAGTACAATGATTTAATATGGGGAAAAATCAATTTTAAAATAGCATTCGATTTAAATTCATATATCTTTAGAATAATGACCAATGAAGATACTAGAGGCGTTAAAAGAGGAGCATGTTTGGATTGCTCATGTCAGGAATATGAGCGCGAACCAGATAATAAAAAGTCACAATGCGAATATTGTGCACATGCACCCATGAGACATGTTGAAATGAAAGGTAAAAAAACATATTTTTGTGTTTTTATAAATATATGTATATATAATATAAATATTGTAATATAAATATTTTATCATTTTAGAAATGGAAGTCACGTCTCCTGAAGGAATCAGTTGTCAAAATCTCGTCATTTCTCAAGAATCTGCAGCTGACGTGTTACATGAATTTGAGTTTATGGATACAAATGCTCCTTCCACTTCACAAGGCTCATCGATGAAATCAGGAACCATAAGAAAACCCGAAAGTTTAAATAACAATGCAAAGAGATCGAAAACTCAGGCAACTCAGGAAGTAAGAATTAACGCTATTTTCAAATTTCAGTAAAGACTTTTTTAAAAAATTAATTTTTATTTGAAAAAAAATTAACCTATTAGAAAATAATTATATTTCAGATCCCTATGAAAGCCCTAATGCCAATCTCATTCCGCTCTGACATCCAACAAGGATTAGATAATAACTATCTTTTACCATCACAAGAAAATGCAATCATCCGGATTGCTTGCAACAACATGAAGTCGAGGAATCGAACTTCTCCTTCTGACATAAATCAAATGGCAACACTTTTGCTACAAGAATACCCGATTCTATGTAGTAGCAGCTCAGTGGGAAACAGTTTGGTAAACTCTTAAAGCTCTGTACTTGAAAAAATCGAAATAGTTAAAATTTTTATATATTTTCAGAAAATGTTCCTTTCAGTAAGTTTCGTGTCTTTTAAAAATTTTAGAATTTTTTACCGTTCCGAAATGAATAAAAATGTAACTACCAATTAAAATGAACAATTCATCAGAGTTTCAAGTCAGTTCACAAATAAGTTTGAGAAATAATACATCATAAAAAGAGACACATTTTTTTTGTAAATTTACTATAAAGTCGTTAAATTTACAATTTAAAGTTTTTAGAAATGTCATATCTCTTAACAAAAGTAAAAAAATTTGAAAATTGATTAAACCTTTTTAAATATAAAAATAGAGAAGGTAAATATTGCAGTCGCACAACAAATGTAAATGATTTTAAAAAATTTTAAACAGTTATACAAGTACTTTTTGTTGTAGTTTTCAGTAATGTCATATTGATACATATACTAAAATAATGAATTTAATAAAAAATAATTTATTTTTAGGCGAATTTAACCGACAGAATCAAAAGATGTTTTGCGAATGCAAATAGAACAGTCAATAAGTCAGAAGACAGTGTTGTAGTTCAACAAAGTATTTCTGATGCGATCACGGGAATGAAGGCTGAGATGCAGACAGCTGATAGAAGACACAATATAACCTTATTAAAAACCTTTCTCAATTCCACACGATCTGTACGAACAGCCGAAGCTCGCAAAGAAACAGCAACAAAAATCCTAGAAAAATATCCTGCATTAAGAAAGGAAATTTTAGTAAGAATTCAGAAATTGTCTTTTAAAATTAATATATTTATTTCAATTTTCATGATAATATTATTTCCTTTTTATTTCAGATTCTTTGGGAGTTCGCACAACTTGTGAGTATTGAAGTATCAATATTAAAAAGCAATTGGATCAATGCTTTGTCACGAATCTGTTCCTTGTTTTTAACGGATGAAGATGTTTTAAAATTCAGTAACAATGCGCTAGCTTTGCAACTTTTGAGTATCCTTCCTCGTTTGTTAGCGGACAAGTTGTCAGGAGACAAAACCATTTTAAAAGTGTATGAAGTAAGTAAAACTATTCATTTCTAATTAGTTTTTTAATCATTTAAATGGAAACTTGTGCACAATAAATTTAAAGGTTGTAGAAATTGAAATGGGATGTAACGAAAGTTCATCGAAAAAAGTACTTTGAAATGATTATGCCAATAAATTTTTAACTGTAGCTCAAAACAAAAAATTTGTATTATATTAACAAGGTGTCTAGTGACCCGGGAAATCTGGAAAAACCCGAGAATTTTTTTTCAAATCCTGGAATTTTCTATTCATAAAGTATTTTTGATATTTTATAATATAATTAAATTTTTTTAAACCCTTTTCGACTCTTTGTTTGAAATTAGAAATATTTTGACTTGTTTCCAAAATCAGTATTTTTTGGAATTTTTTTTTAGCAAATTGAAAAATGTTTTAAATAAAAAAAAGTCTTCGAGGATTCCTTGAAAAAAATTTATAAAATCCAAAAAATCCTTAAAAATTTCTGGAAGAAATTTTATAAAATGAAAAAAAATTCTCGAAAATTCTTTGATAAAATTTAATTAAAAGAAATCATTCTCAAGGATTCGTCGAGGAAAATAAAAAAAAGAATCATATCCTCGAGGATTTACTCAAATCTACATGGATTCCGCATGGGAATGAGTGTTAATTTTTTTTTTTATAGAGATTCATTAAAACATAATTTTTTCAAAATAATACGTAATTTAAGAAAAAAGTGAATAATATTTTTGTTTCATAGATAATAATTAAAGATAATAATTTAAAAAATGATTGAATCTTAAAGACATTTAATTATTAATGAAAATGTTGTCAAGAACTTCGTTGTTAATATGTAACTTTAATTTTTAATTATCTTCAATTTTTTTAGCAAGGTACTTTGATCCCGGAAATAATTCCAGAAGATGGTCATCCACACCTCATTGGAATAGGTAACATAGAATGCTCTGACATTAATCTAATTTGTTACGTTGATGGAAATCCGCTGTTTACCACTACCGCGTCAGAAGCAGTGCCATTGTTGTTAGCTTCGTATTGGATTTTTCAAATTAACTTTCCAAAAGCTTTAAGGAGACAATTTTTTTTGTTATCCGCTATGTTTTTCCGCGATAAAACAGAGAGAATTTTACCAAAAGATCTAACAAATTTTAGATCAGTAAAGACACTACTACAACAAGCAAAAATTTAATAAGATTTTACTTAAAGCAAAAAAAGCCAAATATTTCCACTGGAAGCAAATAATTAAATTCTTGCTTTTCGACTTTTTTATAACTTGTTTTTTACATTTTGCATAATTTTTATACGTTCGCATAATTTAATGTTTAAGAAAAACCTATCAAAATTTTCATATATGGTTTTAAAAAATGTTTAAAATATTTTTAAAGTATTTTTTTGTTTTCACAATTGGTATACACGTATGTGTATACCACCAGTCAAAGTTGTGCTATTACTATTGCATATTTTTTTAAGACTGAAAATCATCTTTAAGTACAAAATGTTTGTAGTCTCCATTTTTTTTCTTTTTAGTTTTAATAAGGTGATAAAATTATGAAAAAAATAATTTTAAGAAAGTAACTCAGTCAATTTTCGATTTATAGTTTTCAAAAAAGTGTCATTTTCTACTTTTTAAAAAATTGAATAATAACTTTTAAAATAATAAAAATATTTTAATATTCAAAAGCTTACTCTACAGCTGTAATTTTGTCAAAAGAGAGAATTACTAGGAAGCATTAAGTGTAATTTGTTTTTAATAATAATAGTTGTCAATAAAATTGTACTAAAAATCATTGGAAATTTATTGTTAATTCTTTATTACAAAAACAGTCTTTTAATTTAGAACACTTCTTTTATTCCACTGCATTCATTAAACATTTTAAAAACGAGTTAATTACAAGAAACATATTTCTTTTGACAAACAATATTGTTTACAATCCAATAGTTTTAATTTTAATCTTTTTTACACTTTTAAAAACAATATTGTTTATTTAATAATTTAATTATTAAATAAAAATATATTTTTCATTAATACACAAATTTATTAATTCCCTTCATTTATTAGAAACCTATTTTTAATTAATAAATAAATGATTAAACTTGTTTGTGACATTAAAAGAGGTTATGTTTACACATTTAAATTATGTCTCTTCCGTGAGAAGGCGCAACATGTAAAAACTACAAATGCTGCCAACCTGGAAATCTGAAAAAATTAAACCTAACATAAACTGACACTTCTTTACATTGAATCTCATTTTGACTAACTTGAAGTTTGCAATTTACTCAATTTGATGTGGATTTCAAAATGAGTTGCAACAAAAATGAATCTAGGTTTTTTCTGTGTGG